TGAGTATACTAAAACAAGCATTTGAGGATAGAAAAGCATTTTGGATCTGAAATTTTGAAACTAAGAACAGAAATGATGAGAAAAAGGAGGAATGGAGAAAAAAAAAGTGGTGAAACTCAGAAAATGGAAGAAAAAAGAATTTCTCAAACGAATTATGAGATAACTAAGGCAGAATAGATGCAAATGAAAAATTGATTTAATTTAATGCCTCTCATTAAATTAGTGTCCTACTGTTAGCAAGTTCCTAGCTGTGCATCTTGTATGTGCTATAGTTTTGTTCTGTAAAGTTGATCACTAGTATTTGGTATGTGTGTGTACACATACATGTATGTGAGTGTGTGTGTGTGTGTGTGTGAGCGCGCGTGTGCGCGCACGCGTGCATGCGTATCCCTATCAGTTGGGGTTTGTGGCTTTTAGCATTAAAATGTGACCTTTGGGGGCACTTGGGTGGCTCAGTGGCTTAAGCATCCTACTCTTGGTTTCAGCTCAGGTCATGATCTCAGGGTCCTGGGATAGAGTCCTGCAGTAGGCTCCACACTCAGGATGAATTCACTCCCCACCACGCCCTCTCTCTGCCCCTCCTACTTGTGCTGTCGCTCTCTCTCTCTCTCTCTCTGTCTAAAATAAATAAAAGTCTTTTTAAAAAAAATATAGAGGTCCCCGGGTGGCTGAGTTGGTTAAGCATCTGCCTTTGGCTCAGGCACGATCCCAGGGTCCTGGGATCATGCCTCACATTGGGCTTCCTGTTCAGTGGGAAGTCTGCTTCTCCCTCTCCCTCTGCCTGCCACTTCTCCTGCTTGTGCTTTTGGTCTCTGTCAAATAAAGTCTTAAAAAAAAAAAGTGAACTTTGTCACATTTAATGTTTCAGGGCTTGAAATCTGTTTCCTATCAGGACAACTATAGCTGCGTGATTTTCCTTTCCATTTATCTGGTATACTTTTGTCCAATCCTTTTTTTCCCCTCTGAATCACTTTATTTTATATATGCCTATTGTCTGCACAAGATTTTTGTTTTGTGAGCCACATGTAAACCCCTTTTATATTTTTTCTTTTTTTTTTTTTCAAAGATTTTATTTATTTATTTGACAGACAGAGATCACAAGTAGGCAGAGAGGCAGAGGGGGAGGAATATTAGGGAACACTTGGCATACCCCCACAAGTTGATTGTATATTAGATCACAAAGAAAACATAGTAACATACATAAAGTACAAACTACTATAAACAATACTCTGTGGTCACAACATAATAAAACTAGAGTTTACTAAAAAAAACAAAATGAGGCCATTCTAGGGGTGCCTGGGTGGCCTGGTCACTTGGACTCTTGGTTTCCGCTCAGGTCACGAGGTCTGGGTTGTGAGAACAGGCTCTATGTTGGGCCTTGTATTTGGCTGGGAGTCTGCTTGCGATTCTCTCTTTCCCTCTCCCTCTGTCCCTCCCTTGGCTGGCTTATGCACACCTGTTCTCTCTCTTTCTCAAATAAATAAATAAATAAATAAATAAATCTTAAACATTAGCCCATTCTACCTGGAAATTTTTAAAAGTCGTTAAATACAGGCCTACCTTGGAGATCTTGTGGGGCAGTTCTAGACCACCACAGTAAAGCAAATATTACAATAAAGCGAGTCAGGTGAATTTTTTTGATTTCTCAGTGCCTATAAAAGTTATATTTATTTTTTATTTTTACTTTAAAAAAAAAGATTTATTTGAGAGAGAGAGAGAGAGTACAAGCATAGGGACAGGGAGAATCAGATTCCTGCTGAGCAGGGAGCCCTATGTGGGGCTTGATCCCCAGGGCTTTGGGATCATGACCTGAGCCAGAGGCAGACACTTAACCAACTGCGCCACCCAGGTGCACCGATACAAGCTTTTTCTAGGGTTATTTGGTAAAGTCTGACACAAACTACATAGGTGCTTATCTTTTCATCCAAGCAGGCCCACTTCTGGCAATCTATACTAAGGATACACTCCCAATAATATGAAAATACAGTATGAACAAGGTTATTCATTGCAGCATTGTTTGTAATTCAAAATATTTGAACCATCCTAAATATACATACATAGGAGAGTGTTGAACAAAGGGTAGGACGTCCATATAGTTGAGTGTTTAAGCTCTACTAAAGGTTGAGAAAGGATGAACCAATAGGGTGATTTCTAGGAGATACTGTTACATGAAAAAAGCAAAGCCTTCCAAAAAGCGTATCCTATCTTTCATGTGGAAAGTAGGCTTGCATGTTATCAGTTTGTTGGCTTTCGTCTATAAATTGACCTTTTTCGCCTGCTCTGTAAAAATGGGCCTTGGCCCTTCAAATATATATCCTTTATCAGTACCTGGCAGTCAGTAGCACCCATTGCCCAGCCCCTTTCTTTGCCGCTCCTCTCCTGATGCTTCTCCCATACAGCTTTTCCTGGTACTCTGGATTTCTGCAGTTGCACTGGTGGAGAACCATAGCCACTTTCTCTGCCCTTCAATGAGTCCCAGCCATGGCCTTCGAGCAAAGTGCAGATCTCAGTTCCAGGGGTGGGGGGGCGGGGGGGTACATGACTTCTTGGGTATGCTTTCTCTGTCCAAATGGTAGGATACTCCTTAGATCTGCTGTTCCTTTATAGTAGAGTTCTCTACTTCTTAAGAGCTAATCTCTCATTACTCTAATACTCTGTTCATCTTTGGCTTAAGCTTTCTTTGTTCTAATTACTGTTTAGGTCTCAGACTGATAGAAAATTTTAGGAAAATACACAGATACTTGCTTATTTGAACAAAAGAAATGGAAGGGATAAACTAGAAATGTAGAGATTGGTTGCCTACAAGGGGTGGGTGGGAATGGAGTAGAAAGTAAGGAGGGAGTGGGAACAAGTTAGTAGGGATGAAGAGGGAATGACACTTCTTGCAGTGTGTTCATATATGTATTTATAACTCTGATCCTTAGAACCATAGTGATGTTTCACCTGTCTTTTACACATCCCAAAAGCAATCAAAACCAGCTAGGGTGTGGGTGGGGGAACCCAAAAATAGAGTATAAAAACTAACACACGAGGGGCACCTGGGTGGCTCAGTTGGTTAAACGTTTGCCTTCGACTCAGGTCATGATCCTGGAGTCCCAGGATCGAGTCCCACATCGGGCTCCCTGCTCAGCCGGGAGTCTGCTTCTCCCTCTGCCCCTCACCTTGCTTATGTTCTCTCTCTCTCTCTCTCTCTGTCTTTCAAATAAATAAGTAAAATCTGAAATAAGTAAATAAATAGGTAAATAAAGTTAAAAAAAAAAAACAAAATACTAAGCCATGAGCTTGTGTCACAACATAACAACACTGAAGAGAAGGGGAAGAAAGAACTAACCTAAGTGTTACAAAAGCATGTCTTGATTTAGTGTTACAAAGCTAGAAACAAAAGGTACTGCTCATGTTTTAGTGTTTCTCACAGGGGTATAGATGAGCAATTCTGAAACTGTTTTCTAGACTCAAACAAATAACTTACTAGATAATGGGAGTTGGGTTTCTCACTTGTGGAGAAAAACGTGACAACGAAAGGTTAAAGGCTAAATGAGTGATTTTAGTTTGGGATTAGGAGCATCAGTATAAACTTGTGGTTTTAAGTATATAACAGAAAAATACAGAAGTGCAGATATTCGTACATGTGTGGTATAATACACAGAGTTACGTTTTCTACCTTTCTCTCCCAAGAGGTCTGGAAGAAGTGCTGACTGCTCCAACAGTGACCACACCTAGTACTCAGCTGATGGCCTCTAAAACCTGTCTTGTTGAGGCTCTTAGATTTTAAGACTGAGATAAGGAAGTGCAAGGTGAACCTCAAGCATCTTACAGTGCTAGAAAATAAGGAAATGCTCCTTAAAAGGGATGAGGGTTTGTTGAAAGACAGGATCCAACTCAAAGGAGCTCCTAACAGCCACCAGTAGAACAGTTTGATTGATAGAATAATTACATTATTAGATTTTAACTTACAGAATGAAATAAATGCGAGCTCATATTAGTATAAATGATCAAATATATGGGAAGAGAGAGATAGGTCTTCCTCATAATACCAGTGAGTAAATGTAGAAGGAGGGAAATAGAGAATCGCCCTTAGGCATGTTCCACAGTAAAAAATGTTGCAGACAAATCTGCCTTTGAATGCTAAAATCCCTGGGTGAAATTTTGAGGAGAAACAAGATTTGCATGGTTTCAAAGTATCTTCCCCAAATACTTAATGAGTACAGAGGAAAAGAAAGTTATCTCTCTAGTGTAGGAATCTGGTGTTCAGGAGCTTAACCAAAGTAAACATCACCAGTAACAGGACATGTAAATATGAACATCATGAACCTCTTGGTGTGACACCATGAGGACATCATCCTTGTGATAGTCCTGCAAAAAATGGGCAGCATTACTCCAGTCGTGGGGAACCAGCAGTCAATGCAAATTCAAGGACATTCTACAAAATAACGAAGAAGAGCTCTTCAGAAGTGTCAAGGTGATAAAAGACAAGGAAAACTGCAGAATTGCAGACAAATAGAGGGAATGCAGTATAGTGTCCTGCAGAGGATCCTGGGGCAAGAAAAAAGGCATTTCATCAAAAAAAACTTGTGAAATTCGAAAAAGACTTAGAGTTACTGATACTATGTTAATGTTAATTTTCTGATCCTGATAATTATGATTATGTAAGGTGTTAACATAGGGAAAACTGGGTGAGAGATTTAAGGGGACTCTCTACTATTTTTATAGCTTCTTTTAGCTTTAGGTCTAAAATTAGCTCAAAATTCATTCTCAGGGCACCTTGGTGGCTCAGTGAGTTAAGTGTCGGACTTGATGTCGGCTCAGGTCATGATCTCAGAGTCATGAGATCACTGGGCACGGAGCCTCCTTGGAATTCTTTCTTCTCTCCCTCTGCCCCTGCCACTCTCTCTCTCAAAAAAAAAAAAAAAAAAAAAAATCAAATGAATGTTAAGTATTAAAGATATATCGGAAGACCTAGTACAGCTATTGAAGTTTGATTTTTCTTGTTCCTCTAACAGGATTAGAAAAAGGCTTCTGGAACAGCGAGAAGAAACTATAACAATAGACCGGGTTTGCAGACAAGAAACATTTGCTTATGAGATGGTAAGAGTCTCATCTTTTTTTTTTCCCCATAAAATTGTGAACACTGTCATTGGGTGTTAGTGATCACTGATGGTGTCTTTATATTGGATATGCTTAGTTGAAAACAAACTTAGAGAAACCTCATTGGGACTGGTAAAGTAGGAGAAAAAGACCCACAGAATTCAAATGATGGAGCACCTGGGTCACTCGGTCAGTTAAGCGTCTGCCTTTGGCTCAGGTCATGATCCCAGGGGCCTGGGATTGATCCCTGTCTCAGGTTCCTTGCTCACTGGAGAGCCTGCTTCTCCCTCTCCTCACTCGAGTGCTCTCTCTCACTATCTCTGCCTCTTGTCTCAAATAAAAATCTTTGGGGGAAAAAAAGGGATTGAAATGATGGCATGTTTGACTCTAAGATCTCTGCCGTTGTTCTTGCATTTATTTATTCTTGCATTTATTCATTGATTCATTCATTCAGATTTTATTTATTTATTTGACAGTGAGAGAGCACAAGCAGGGGGAGCAGCAGAGGGAGAGGGAGAAGCAGGCTCCCTGCTGAGCATGGAACCCTATGCGGGGTTTGATCCCAGGACCCTGGGATCCTGACCTGAACTGGGGTCAGACGCTTAACTGACTGAGCCACCCAAGCATCCCTTTATTTCTGCTTTTAGTTTGGTTTTGCTCTTTATCTTAGGCTAAATTCATGCCTTTTCATCCCCCTGTTGCTGGTACTTTAGTCTGCTCCTGATTTTGGTTAGGCACATTCTTAATCCACCATCTCTTATGTAAACCCTCAGAAAAGTTTAAGATGATAAATAATGAGGGCTCATTCAGTACATATTCTAAAGGACCTCCTGAGTGTCAGATGCTGTGTTGGGCACTTGATAATACATAGAGACATTTGTTTTCTTTACCTTTTATTTATTTTTTTAAGCTTTTATTTATTTGTTTGAAAGATAGAGTGAGCACATGTGAGAGAGAGAGAGAAGAGGCTGGAGGAGGGGCAGAGGAGAGGGAGAAGCAGGCTCCTTGAAGAGCAGGGAGCCTGATGCAGGACTTGATCCAGGCCCCTGGGCCGAAGGCAGACGCTTAGCAACTGAGCCATCCAGGCACCCTTGTTTTTTTTTATTGTGGTAAAATTTGCATTACATAAAATTTACTATTTAACCATTTTAAAATGTTTGATTTAAGTGGCATTAAGTACATTCACTGTGTCAGGTACCCATCACTATTTCCAGAACTCTTTCATCATCTCAAACAAATTCTCTACTGATTAAATAACTCCCCATTTTTCTTTTCCTCAGCCCTTGGTAACCTTTATTCTACTTTCTGTCTCTGTGTATTTGCCTGCTCTAATACCTCATAAGTGGGGTCATGCACTATTTTCCTTTTGTGTTCAGCTTGTTTTACTTACTTATTATAATGTTTTAAAGGTTTATCTGTGTGTGGTATGTATCAGGACTTCGTTCCCTTTTTCTTTCTTTTGACTGAGTAGTATTTCTGTTTATGGATATGCTACATCTTGTTTATCTGTTCATCTTCTGATGGACATTTGGCTTATTTCCATTTTTTGGCTATTGTAAATAGTGCTGCTGTGAACACCAGTATACAGCTGTCTGTCTGAATTCATTTTCAGTTCTTTTCAGTATATACCTGAGCTCAGTCATATGGTAATTCTAGGTACATCTTGAGGCACCACCGAACTGTTTTCCACAGACAGTCCCACCAGCAGTGCACAAAGGCTCCAATTCCTTTGCATTCTCTTCAACATTTGTTACTGTTTTTTGACAATAGCCATCCTAGTGGTATCTCATTATGATTTCAGTTGCATTTCCAAATGGTAAGTGATGTTGAGCATCTTTGGAGAAATGTTTATTCAAGTCCTTTACTTGTGTTTTAATTGCATTGTCTCTTTGTTGAGTTGTAAAACTTCTTTGCATATTCTGAATACCAGACCCTTACCATATGTGTGATTTTAAAATGTTTTCTCCCATCTATAGGTCGTCTTTTCACTCCCTTGATAGTTTCCTCTGATGTACAAAAGTTTTAAAATTTGATTAAATTCACTTTATCTGTTTTCTTTGTTGTTGTTATCTGTGCTTTTGGTGTCATTCTTTTTTTTTTTTTTTTTTAAAGATTTTATTTATTTATTTTGACAGAGAGAAATCACAAGCAGGCAGAGAGGCAGGCAGAGAGAGGAGGAAGCAGGCTCCCTGCTGAGCAGAAAGCCCGATGCGGGGCTCGAACCCAGGACCTGGGATCATGACCTGAGCCGAAGGCAGCGGCTTAACCCACTGAGCCACCCAGGCGCCCCTTTTGGTGTCATTCTTAAGAAACTATTGGCAAATCCAATGTAATGAAGCTCCCCCCCCCATGTTTTCTTCTAAGAGTTTATAGTTTTAGCTCTTAGTTCAAGTCTTTGATCCATTTTGAGTTAATTTTTATATATGATATAAGGGAAAGGTTTAACTTCATTCATTTGTATGTGAATATCCAGTTTTCCCAGCACCATTTGTTGAAGAATGGTCTCTTGAATGGTCTTAACATGTTTGTTAAAAGTCCGTTGACCATGTGAGATTTATTTCTGAGTTCTCTATTCCACTCCATTAGTCTATATGTCTGTCTTATCCTAATCCTAATCCTGTTTTGCTTATTATAGCTTTGTGGTCATTTTTGAAATTGGGAAATGTGAGTCTTCCAACTTTAATCTTTTTCAGGATTGTTTTGGTTGGCTATTTATGGTCCCTCAGAATTCCCTAGGAATTTTAGGAGGGTTGTTTTATTTCTGAGGAAAAAAAAAACAAATCATAGAGGGCCCCTGGGTGGCTCAGTCAGTTAAGCCGCTGCCTTCAGCTCAGGTCATGATCCCAGGGTCCTGGGATAGAGCCCTACATCGGGCTCCCTGCTCAGCAGGGAGTCTGTTTCTCCTTCTCCCTCTGCCTACTGCTCTACCTGCTTGTGCTCTCTATCTCTCTGTCAAATAAATAAAATCTTTAAAAAAAAATCAGAGATTTTGATAGGGATTGAATTGACTCTATATGATTTGGGATAGTATTGTCATCTGAATATCTTCGAATCCATGAACAAGCTATGCCTTTCAGTTTATTAAAGTTGTCATTAGTTTTGTTCAGTAATGTTTTATAGTTTTTAAGTGTACCAGTCTTTGATTTTTTTTTTCTTTTTTTATGATTTTTTTATTCTTCTAAAGTAATTTCTACACCCACCATGGGCTTGAATTTACAACCCTGAGATCAGAGTTGCATGCTATACGGACTGAGCCAGGCAGGCCCCCAAAGTCTTTTCATTTCTATGAAATTTATTCCTAAGTATTTTATTACTTTTGATGCTATTATTTTCTTTTTATTTCTTTCTTTCTTCTTTTTTTTTTTTTTTTTTAAGATTGTATTTATTTATTTGACAGAGATCACAAGTAGGCAGAGGCAGGTGGCGGAGGGAGAGTGGGGAGCCAGGCTCCCTGCTGAGCAGAGAGTCCAATGCAGGGCTCGATCCCAGGACTCTGGGATCATGACCTGAGCTGAAGGCAGAGGCTTTAACCCACTGAGCCACCCAGGTGCCCCGCTATTGTTTTCTTAATATCTTTTACAAGTTATACACTGCTAGTATATAGAAATACAACTGGTTTTTGTGTGTTGATTTTGTAGCCTGCAACTTTGGTAAATTTATTTGCTCTAATAGGCTTTTTGTGTGGATTCTTTAGGATTTGATACATAGAAGATCATGCCTGTTATCTGTAAACAGAACTAACTTTATCTCTTACTTTCTATTTTGCTTGCTCATTCACTCTGTTTCCTTCCTTCCTTTTTAAAAATCTAATTGTTCTAGCTAGAATTTCTAGTACTATGTTGAGTAGAAGTGACAAAAGTGTATATCCTTATAGTCTTTCACCACTGAGTATGATTTTAGCTGTGGATTTTTTGTATATATCCTTGATCGTGTTGAGGAAGTACCCCTTTGTTCCTAGTTCCTATTTTGGAAGGGTTTTGGATTTCCTCATACTTTTTCTGTATTTCAGTGAAATAATGATGTGGGTGTTTTCCATCTTTCTGTTAATGTAGTGTATGACATTGATTGATTTGCATGTGTTGAACTACTCTTGCATCCTGAGGATAAATCCCACTTGGTTGTGGTATATAATCCTTTTCATATGCTGCTGAATTTGGCTTGCTGTATTTTGTGGTTTTCTTTTAATTTTTTTTTTAGATTTTATTTATTTATTTGACATAGAGATCACAAGTAGGCAGAGAGGCAGGCAGAGAGAGAGGGGGAAGCAGGCTCCCTGCTGAGCAGGGAGCCCAATGCAGGGCTCAATCCCAGGACCCTGAGATCATGACCTGAGCTGAAGGTAGATGCTTCACTGACTGAGCCACCCAGACACCACAGTTTGCTGGTATTTTGTTAGGGAGTTTTGCACTTATATTTATAAAGGATATTGGCCTGTAGTTTTCTTGTGGTGTCTTTGTCTGGCTTTGGTATCAGAATCTCATAGAATGAATTAGGAAGTATTCCTTCCAGGGGCGCCTGGGTGGTTGGGCATCATGATCCCAGGGTCCTGGGATCGAGCCCCACATTGGGCTCCAGATCCTCTCCCTCTCTCTCTCAAATACATAAATAAATAAAATCCTAAGGAAAAAAAGTATTCCCTCGGTGCACTTGACTGGCTCAGTCAGTAGAGCATGTGACTCTTGACCTTGGGTTATCAGTTCAAGTACCACATTGGGCATAGAGCTTACTTCAAAAAAAAAAAAAAAAAAGTATTCTCTCTCCTTCACACTTCTTTCTTGGAAGACGTTGAGGGGGAGGATGTTAATTCTTTGGTACAGTTCACCGGTGAAACCATCTAGTCCTGTGCTTTTCTTTGTTTATAAGTTTTTAATTACTGTTCAGTCTCCTTACCATTATATCACTGCAGCAATATGCTGTTAATATTCAGATTTTCTGTTTTTTCTTGGATTAGCTTTTCTTTTTTTTTTTTTTTTAAGATTTTATTTATTTGTTTATTTGACAGAGATCACAAGTAGGCAGAGAGGCAGGCAGAGAGAGAGGAAGGGAAGCAGGTTCCCCACTGAGCAGAGAGCCTGATGCAAGGCTCGATCCCAGGGAGGCTTTAACCCTCTGAGCCACCCAGGCGCCCCTCTTGGATTAGTTTTGATTGTTGCCTTCCTTCTAGTTTTAGGGTCAGTTTCCCCTTCTTACAGTTTCTTACTGTATACAGTAAGGTTATTTACTTGAGATCATTCTTTTTTAATGCAGATGTTTATTAGCTGTAAGTTTCCCTTTTTGTATTGCTTTTGCAACATCCTGTTCCTTTTTTGTTTTTAGATTTTATTATTTATTAGAGAGAGAGAGAGAGAGAGAGAGCGCACACACAAGCAAGGGGAGTGGCAGGCAGAGGGAGAGGGAGAAGCAGGCTCCCCACAGAGCAAGAGGAGCCTGATGTGGGACTCAATCCTAGGACCCTGGGATTATGACCTGAGTCAGAGGCAGTCACCCAACCAACTGAGCCACGCAGGTGCCCTCCTATAAGTTTCTCTTGCGTTTTTGTTCTCATTTGTCTCAAGGTATTTTCTTGTGATTTCTTTTTTGACCCATTGGTTATTTAAGAGTGTGTTGTTTAATTTCCACTGATTTTTTAAGTTTTTGTTCCTATTACTGATTTCTAGTTTTGTTCAGTTATGATCAGAAAATAAACTTTTCATGATTTCAGTACTTTCATATTCATTAAGGCTTGGTGGTCTAGCTCAGAGAATCATCCGTGTGCACTTGAGAAGAATGTTTTGTTGGATGGAGTGTTCTGTATGTGTCGATTAGGTCTCATTGGTTTGTAGTGTTATTTCCTAATTAATTTTGTGTTTAGTTATTCTACTCATTGAAAGTGGGGTATTGAAATTTGCACCGATTATCATCGAACAGTATATTTTTCCCTTCAATTCTGTCAGTTTTGCTTCGTGTATTTTGGCTTTCTGTTGTTAGCTACATGTGTGTATAATTATTGTACCTTCTTTTGGGATTGCATATTTTAAAATACACAGTGTCCTCCTTTGTCTCCTATAACCTTTTTTGACTTAAAGTTTGTTTTGTCTGACAATAATACAGCTTTCATTTGGTTACTATTTGTGTGGAGTATCTTTTTCCATTTTTTTTACTTTCAACTCTTTGTGTCTTCATGTCTAAAGTGAGTCTCTTACAGAGAGTGTATGGATGATCAAATATTTTTAATCCATTCTGCCAACCTTTGCTTTATTAATGGGAAAGATTGGCCCATCTGTATTTAAAGTAATTACTGATGAGGATTTATTTCTACTATTTAGGTATCTGTATGTCATATCTCTCTTTTGTTCCTTGGTTCCTCTATTACTGTCTTTTTTGGTATTTAGTTAAATTTTTAAGGTGTATTTTGTTTTCCTTCTTTCCATGTGTATGTGTTTACTTATTTTTGTAGTGGTTACCTTGTGGATTACAACTACCATTTTAAAGTTCCAACAACCTAGTCTTAATAATACCAACTTTGTTTCAGTAATACCTTGAAGGATAGATACTCCATTCATATACATCTCTGTCCCTACCCCTTAATGTTGTTACTGTCTCAGATCACATCTTTATGTGTCTGTTAACATAAATTTATAAATATTGGGGTGCCTGGGTGGCTCATTTGTTAAGTATCTGCCTTCAGCTTTGGTCACCATTCCAGGGTCCTGGGATTGAGCCCCACATCCAGCTCCCTGATCTGCGGGAAGCCTGCTTCTCTCTCTCTCACTCCCCCTGCTTGTGTTCCCTCTCTTGCTGCGTTTCTCTCTGTCAAATAAATAAAATCTTTAAAAATAAATAAATAAATTTATAAATATTTTATCCATTTGCTTTTGGGGAAAAAAGGTATAAACTAAATGTACAGTAGCTCTGGCTTTTATATTTGCCTATGTAGTTAACTATTCCCAGTGTCCTTTATTTTTTTCTTATGGATTCAAGTTACTGTGTAGTGTCTTCTAATTTCATCCTGAAGAGCTCTCTTTAGTATTTCTTAAACAAAGCCAACTGGTAATGAATTCCCTCATAGTTTTTACTCTTTTTAAATCTGAAAATGCCTTAATTTCTTTTTTTAATTCCTGAAGGATAATTGTGCCAGGTATAGAATTCTTGGTTAATGTTTTTTTTCTATCATGACTTTTGAATGTGTTTTCCTACTCCCAGCTCACTGAGTGCATTTAAAACAGTTGATTTAACATTTTTGACTAGTAACTTCTGTATTTGGGCCACCTCAAGGGTAGTTTTTGTCAGATTTTTTTTTTCTGTGAATGCGACGTTTCTTTGTTTCTTTGTGTGCTTTATGTTTTTGTTGAGAACAACAAATCTATACTGGACGTCCTGAGTATATTTTTTTTACTTTTTGATTGTTGGAGCTGCATGTATTCCTTGTTGTGTATGGTTATGGATATTTCTGTTTCATCATCTCTGCGGACAGCCAGTGACCTGTTTGAGATTTCCTTAAATGTCTGCCTCCACAAATTTAAAATAAAAGTGGGGGAGGGAAAAATGAAACAAGGTGAAACTAGAGAGGGAGACAAACCATAAGAGACTCAATCTCAAGAAACAAACTGAGGCTTGCTGGAATGGAGGGGGGTGGGAGGGATGGGGTGGCTGGGTGATGGACACTGGGGAGGGTATTTGCTATGGGGAGTGCTGTGAATTGTGTAAGACTGATGAATCATAGACCTGTACCCCTGAAACAAATAATACATTATATGTTAATAGTGAATAAATAAATAAATGAAAGAAAAGTTAAAAAAATAAAAAAAGCCCTGTTTCTAAATTTCCCAGTAGGTGCTGCTGTGGGAAGCCACTGCTGGCAAGAGGCCCAACACCAAGGCCAGTGTCTACATCAGGGCATTACCAGAGCAACCAAAACAACCCCCAGTTTTGGGAGAACAAGTTCCCCATTGCTTGTCATGGCATCAGTCATCCGTTCAGGAACATGGGCCCCTATTTCCACATCTGCAGGGGGGCTGAGGAACCGGGGGATGGTGGCTGGTTTGCACTCTGTGCTTATTAATAAAGAGAAGCAGCTTGTCCTTTCATCGTCACTTTCTGAGTTGATATAACTGACTAATCAGATTCCAGAATTCCACAACAGTTGGTTCCAGTCTCTCTTTCCATCTTATTGGTTGCTTTGGGGGAGGGACTGATCCCTAGAGCTGCCTGCTGTGCCATTTTGCATAGTGTCACTCTCTCTTATTTTTGCATCTGTACTTCTTAACTAGTCTCCTCTAGGGGGCCTGTTTTATAGTTATCGTGCACACATAATAGAAGTGTGAGGGAGTACAGATGCGCTAATGTTGTAAAAGGCAAGACAGTGTTGGTTTTAGAGCCAAACCAATCTGTATTTACATTCAGGCTTGCTGGTTTATCTTGGGTAAATCTGAACCTTGGTGCATCTGTCAAATAGCTTCATAATAGCGTGAGAGGAAGCATGTGGAAGTGCTATTAGCAGCTGTAAATGCCAGCGTTATACCAACATTAGTTGATACTCGTGTTTTATCATTGGTTGCTAAGCATCTAGGGCCAACCATTATTAGATGCTTTATGTACATATTCCTAGCAGTAGTCCTATAAAACAAGTATTTTCTGTTTTGTTGGTTTTTTCGTTGTTGTTGTTGTTTAGATGATGAAACTAAAGCTTAGAGAGGTTTTAACAGTTTTCTTAAGGTAAAATTAGGAGTCAAAGCCAGGGCTGCCTGACTTGCTTACCCACTGCCTCATAGCTGAGTCACACTGATTTTAAGGTCTCTTACTTGTTTTTTTCTCCTTCAGGAGTCACATGCCATAGGAAAAAAGCCTGAAAATCCAGCAGACATGATTGAAGAAGGGGAGCTTATCCTATCTGTGAATATCTTATACCCTGTTATATTTCATAAGGTCAGTAGTAAAACCTTTTTCATTTCACAGATAAAATAGGTGACTTCTGTCAAATGATTTAATTATTTGAAGAGTCACAGTCCTTAGGGTCCAAATCAATGCAAACATATGCTGTTTTATGTAACAGTACACTATTGGAATGTGTTATTCCGGATTGCTTCACTGGAAACAACTGAAAGTATATGTGAATCCACAGTGACTCTAATTATATGAATTCTTGGGTTTGTTTCTTAGTTTTGCTTTTGCTTTTGTTTTTGTTTTAATAGAATAGGTGACTGGTAAAGGAGTAAGTTAACCTTTTTTCACGAATTCAGAATACTTGGGAAGTTGTCTAACTAAAGACAGTTCTTCTTTGATGAAAATGCAGAAAGTCAATAGGTTAAGGAATATTCAGAAATTTCTTAGAGGTCTCTAATAAAAAGAATTCAGTCCTAGCCCAAATGTGTGTATTTTTGATTCCCTGAATAGATGTCACAAACTTCGATAAGGTTTAATTGAAATAATAGTATACCTGAATTGCACTTGTGAAAAATAGTAATGAAGCATCTGGGATGTAGTTGGTACAATTACCCTGCCAGCCAAACCAAACCAATAAAACCAAACTTTTGGGTCTGTAACATGAGAGTAGTGTATAGATTGCTTGACTTCCATGAGGTAACTTGCAAGACATTTTAAAACACTGTTGCTGGGGCACCTGGGTGGCTCAGTCAGTGTAGCTCGCCCAACTCTTGATCTCAGGGTCATGAGTTCAAGCCCTTGGTTGGGTGTGGAGCCTACTTAAAAATCATAATAAATAAAACAGTGCTGCTAGGTAAAGTTATATTCCAAAGGTTCTTGGTAATTACATTTTAGTAGCATCTTGATGATAAACTTGAGCTTAAACTAAGAAAGTTCTGTTGCCAAGTGTCTTAGTCTGTGTGGCTGCTGTAACAAAAAATCACTGATAGAGATGCTTATAACCAGCAGTTTGTCCCAGTTCTAGATGCTGGTGGTCCAAGCTTGGGGCCAGCACAGGCGGGTGAGGCCCTCTTCCATGTCATGGACTTCTCAGGTGGCAGAAGGAGCTAGGGTGCTCTGTGGGATCTTCTATAAGACCATGAAGCCCATTCATGAGGCTCCACTCTCACAACCTCATCACCCCCACCCCCCAAAGACCCAGCCTCTGAACACTATCACTTGGGCATTAGGATTCCAGTATCTGAATTTGGGGTAGACACAGACATTCAGACCATAGCACCAAGTATCTCAGTTGTCTGTTGGATTCTAACTTAACAGAGGTGGCCGAGTGACCATACGACAGGTCCGTGCCATTGAGAAGAGCGAGTCGGCTGCAGCCACAGGGCCACAGGGGGAAGCACTGGAGACAGTTGGGAGTGAGAAGGAGTGAGGAGAAGCTTTAGACCACAGCCTTTATTGAGGTTTCCATGGACAGGGCAGGGCAGGGTAGGGCAGGGCAGGGTAGGGCAGAGCGAACGGTTCAGGCTTGGCTAGTTTGAATAATTCCAGCGGGCTTGGGGGTATAGGGTCTGTCTCCCTAGTTGTCTGCTACCTAACCTTAATTGATTTAGGACAGGGAAATACCTGCTTGGTGTGTGAGAGTGAGAACAAGGAAGTGGCTGCAGAGACCAGGCTCTGGATCACGGTGGGGATGTAAACAATTTTGGCCATTAATTTGGACCTGTACTTAACGGGTGCCAAATTGACAAATACAGAATCTAAGAAAACACAGAACACTGAGTTATGGGGATAACTTCAAATTAAGAAAACCAGTAACTTCATTTAGATCTGGTCAGGACAGGATTTACAGTTTAATTGCTTTGTCTGTAAGTGGACATTTACTTATTTACCATTTGATTTGTAGCACAAAGAACACAAGCCATACCAGACGATGCTGGTATTGGGCAGTCAGAAGCTCACAGAACTGAGGGATTCAATTTGCTGTGTCAGTGACCTCCAGATTGGTGGGGAATTCAGCAACACTCCTGATCAAGCTCCTGAGCACATAAGCAAAGTAAGGTGTTGTGTTTTCTTTTTTTTCCTTAACTCTCATAAATCAAGAAATAATAATAGTAGTAACAATAATAGTAAGCTAAGTAAGTAGTGATTACTCTAGCAGAATCATAAATGTTCCAGTAAATCCTTTCTTCTTTTATGCCATTCTGTCAAATTTATCTGTTCTCTTCTTTTTATCATCAAGACATTTTCAAAGATGAGGCTGGGCTCAGGTTTGATTTTCTGTCTGTCTCCCATTCAGTTCTCAGCCATTCTCTTGTGTACACTCTTCCTTTTAAGGTCATAGTGACACCTAATTGTCTCCTCCATGTTCGTACAACTTGACCTCACTAGCATTCGAATTTGCCATTCACTCTCTCTTTCAAATTCTGAGTTTCCATCTGTCCTAATTCCCCCAGCAAAGGGTGGGTGTCCGCCTGAGGGCTCACTGCCCAGAGAAGGTCCTATCAGTCAAGGCGCAAGACCAAGCCTGGACACATCCGTCTGATGTTGGTCCTTAGCTGCTGTTTGCCACAGAGATGCTGTCAAAAGGACAGAAATTTACATACCCATTGGTTAAAGATAGAAAGGGGCGGAGTGGTAGACTGGCCACCCACAAAGTTTTCCGAAGGGATTGCTCGCCCTGTAGAATAATAGGGCCTTGATCTCTCTGTAAGTTCATGGTAAGGCAAACGAGCTAATTCTGTTACTTGGTGCACCTCTGGTGGAAGACTCAGATTTACTGGCCCACTTAAAAGGGGCAGTCTCTCCTGTAGCTCAGAAAAGGATATTTGGGTCAGATAGAATGGGGAGAGAGTTTGGATGAGAACCACCACAGTCACTATTTTTGCCAGTTCCTGTGCCATCAGCCATAAAACTGTTCTTAGCACGTAGGTTTCAGGGTGCCTGGGTGGCTCAGTCAGTTGTGTCTGCCTCAGCTCAGGTCATGATCTCAGGGTCCTGGGATCAAGCCCCGGATTGGGCTCCCTGCTTAGCGGGGAGTCTGCTTCTCCCTCACCTCTTGCCTCCTTCCCCCTGCTCATGCTCTCTCTGTCAGATTTAAAAAAAAAAAAAAAAAAAAAAAGTGGGCTTCACTTTGGTGGTTCTTATAAATTCTTCTGGGCTTTCCTCAGTTTTCATGGTTTTAAGTATACTCTAATCTTTGTTAATGCCACTCTGTCTGCTGCCTTCTCTCCTCATTTCCAAACCATTATTTTGAGTGGCTGCTGGACATTGTCATTGAGCCTCAGTGCTGCCTGGCATTTTTTTCACATCTCTATAGTTGATTCATTCTGCTCCTTTTCCGGGGGTGCGGGAGGGGGCAGCTGTGATTCATTCTGAAACTGCCTACATATCCTCATGAGTTACCATCAGTGGAAACTCTGGCTGTTTGTTTCATGGAGAACATAAAGTTACCAGAAAAGAACTTTCCATCACCTCTCACCTCTTTACCTCCACTAAGCCATCTCCTGCCTTCCCACCCGGGACAGAGCTAGACTAAAGCTGCTGCAACCTGAGGCCAGGCTGCCTGCCCATGCGGTCCCATGTCTCACCATGCTTGGCCTCACATCATGGTCCACTCCATTCTGCCAGCTCTCCCTTCATTACAGGTGCGCCGTGATGGCTCCCTTCCTGAACCTTGTCTCGACCACGCGGCTTCCTCTAGCCGCCACTCATCTCTCTGCTTCCTCCTCAGCAAACCAGAGTGAATAACAGCAAGTAGGAACAATAATGAGTTATTAATAATAGCCCCTAAATTCATTGTTTCTCTCTTTCTGCCATCACCTTGTCTTGTACTCACTCTTGTTCCCACCACTCCTCAAAAATCACTTTTCTTGCTGCCACCGTAGACGTCGTGCTCAGACCTTTTCTGACCACTCATCGGGTGTGACTCCATTGAATATTCCTTCTTCCTTGCAGGATTTTCTTTACCCAACTTTTAGGACATTACACCCACCTGATTTACCTTCTCTCTGACTGACTTTTAATTAATTCCTTCGTTGAATGCTTCTCATTTTCCTGGCTTTTGTTGTAAAGCCCTGGGAGTCGGTCCTCAGACTCCCTTTGATGTATCCTCCCTAGGTGATCTTACCCAGATTCAGAGCTGTCAGTACTGGGAATTCCAAAATTCTCTCCAATCTCAGCATCTTCTCTGACCTCCAGACTTCTATATCCAACAGTCTTCTTGACAGTTTTTTTATTTATTTAAGTAGTGTCTAACCCAATGTGGGGCTCTAAGAGTCTCATGATCTTGGTCCCTGAGATCAAGACTCGTGTGCTCTTCCAACTGAGCCAGCCAGGTGCCCCGTCCTTGACAGTTTTTCTTGGATGTCTGACAGCCATCTCAAATCTAATCTGTTCATAAGCAAATGCTATACTGCTCCACGAAAGCCTGTGCCGTCCCCAGTGTTCCTGTCTCAGTAAATATGCCCATCGTGCATCTGGTGACTTGGGCTGGAAACCTGGAGTCCTCCTCATCTCCTTTTCCTTCCACATTGAAGGCATCAGCGAGAGCTTTGACTCTACTTTGAAAATACATTTAGGCTTTGCCCTGCTCTTCTCTCTCTCTCAAAGATAAAAAAATAAATCTTTAAAAAAATTAGAAGATAAAGTCTTTGAAAATGAAAATGAAAAGAAATCAATCCTGTCATTCTCTGATCTAAAAATCTAAGTGGATCTCTGAAGGCTGACATACAAGGCCTTTTGTCATGATGATTCCCAAGTTAACTTTCCATGCTATCCAGCCTCTACTTCTGTACCGTATGCTTCAGCCACAGAGAATTTATGCTGCTCAAGCATGACACTTTTTCGTGCCTCCAAATGTCTGAACATGGTCGGAAGCCCTTTCCCTCCCTCCCTCTGTCCATCTGGCTCATGCTCATATTTCCAAACCCAGCTTAAAACTCACGTATTACATAAAATCTCTCCTGACTGCCCTCTCTTTGCCACTCTGGCACCATTTCTTTGGCCATTATAGTGTCTGTAATAATTGGCTGGTGCTGTCTGCTGTGTCTCTGTGCCCCACAAGGCGGGCTGTGTTCCAGTCCTTTTGCTGATGGGCAAGGAGACCAGCGGTCTATGACTCACATGTAGATTTCACTTAGTTTTCTCTTTCTACCAAAAATGGTTTTAAGATAATTGGTTTTTTTCAGGTTTGGCATCTCGGTGCTGTGGGACGTAAACTTTAGATTAGAGAGAAACAAATGGAATTTCAAGGCTGTATGCAGACCAAGAAATAAAAATTTGTCTTCTTTTAAAGGAGAAGCAGCAGCCTTCAGCAGTTTCTCCACCCTACCAAAAAAAAAAAGTAATTATAAAGTTTTTATAAACCCACTCTAATAAGCAGACTCTGAGTTCACTCTCATGGCAGTCATGTTGTCCTTGTTCAAGGCAGCTGGAGTCTGATCTGGGAGTCAGTCTGAGGGCCAGAAAGCCAGAGAGGGATTCTAACCAGGTGTGCCTAGTTTTTGGTATTTGTATGTTGGAGCTGATGTGTTTCGCAGTCTTTTTTTAAAAGATTTTATTTATGTATTTGTCAGAGAGAGCACAAGCAGGCAGAGGCAGAGAGAGAAGCAGGCTCCCCGCTGAGCAGGGAGCCCGATGCGGGACTGGATCCGAGGACCCCGGGATCATAAACTAAGCCAAAGGCAGCGGCTTAACCGACTGAGCCACCCAGGTGTCCCCGTTCAGCAGCTTTCTCAGCAGGGGGCTGGTAGATTTCATTATCCTGGCTTAAATACCGAACACATGTGTGGTTGTATTGTTTCTGCCTCTTCCAGCTCTTTATTAAAAGAATAACCTCTGATGATTGAGTGCTTGCTACGTGCTGGACAGAAGTGTGCTTTGGACAGAATTAGCACCGGTCGAGGGGTAAGAAAAAGTTGGGTCAGCGCGCCCTCATGTGTTGCCGGAGTTGGGTAAGCAGGGTAGAGGCTGGATTCGGACCGCTGTTGACTTGCCTTCCAAGCCCCACATCCTCCTTTGCCACGCGTGACGTCAGGCCCGAGGGTCTTCCCTGCCCTTTGGTTGACTTGCTGACTAGGCAGAGTGAAACCCTGAGCTGTGCTGTGCATCACCGCAGCTTCTACAAGGACTCCGGAATCTCTGTTCAGAGAGCTGTTTCGTGCTCCCTTGGTCTGCAGCTGTGGTTTAAGGACGTGAACTGCTGAATTAGTGACATTTTGCAGATACTGACATTTGTCTGACCTATGGAAAGATTTTCATTTCACTGATTGGCATTTGTATTTTATGGTTTGGTTTTTTTAATTTTTGCTTTGGAATTTTTTTTTTCCTCTGATTATGTGAGTCCTCATCTTTCTTGGTGAGTCTGGTCCCTTGGAAAAGTCTAACCATACACACAAGAGATAGTATGAGTCCTTGTGTACCCATTACCCACCTTCCCCAAATCTCAGCGTTTGCCAAATTATTTTATCTGTTCACCCAGCAAAACGGAAAACTGGTCCATAAGTTATAGTGCTTTTTCTTAAGTTATATAGCATGTACTCCACTGGTAAGCATGGGCAAAACATCAGTGAGTTGCAGTTCCTGTAGCTGAGGAAAGGAGTATCTTCATTTCAACCAGGAAGCAAGAATTCTTAAAGTCTAGATGACTTTAGTATCTGAGCAGACTGGGAACATTGAGCCAGGATATTTAAATCTCTTAAATCTTACATCTGAAATGTAGTAAGTTTTGCTAACATTTGTTTTTTGGACTATAGTAGTCAGAGAATGGAGTGCATTTTTTAAAATATATGTATAAGATCAGGCCACTGGAGTCGTAGGATTGGGCCCCAAATCAGGCTTTCTGCTCAGCAGGGAGTCTGCTGCTCACTCTCCCTCAGCACCTCCCCACAGCTTCTGCTCTCTCTCCCAGTTAAATAAATAAATAAACAAAACCTTAAAAAAAAAAACAAAAAACTTCAGAAGTATTCCTAGGATCTGCTGTGAGAAAATAGTAATGGGAGAGACGCTGAAGAAGCTCTTTGTCTTACACCAGGCCTTCGTTTATAATAAGTAGCAGCAACAGGTGCCAGGTATTTTCTTAAAGTTCCTCTAAGCAAGACACTTAAGAGATTATTGACCAAAAAAAAAAAAAAAAATGAACTAATCTGAGCAATGTTAAAAACAGACCAGATATTAAAATACTAATTAAGATACTAAAAAAGCAAAACAAAACAACACTCGGGTAGAAAATAGTGGCCTGATCTTATACATATATTAATTAATTAATCATGACCTGAGCTAAAGGCAGTCGCTCAACCAACCGAGCCACCCAGGCACCCCTAAGACAGACACTTAACCAACTGAACCAGCCTTCTGCCCCTACTTCTGAAGTTCTAATACATCTGATTTGAATGTTCGCAAGCGAACAAACTATTGATGCTTAAAATTACATAGAGGTGACTTTGTTCACATGATCTGGTCAGTTCTTGATAGTTACTTTGTTTATGAAGTGGAAATAGTAGACTCTGGGGCTGTGTTAGGTTTGTAACAGAAGTAACTTCTTTCACTAGGTTTTCCATATTGGTTGGCGATCCTCCCCTCCCCAAAGCTGGTCAGCTAAACTAGCTGACAAAATAGGGAAACTATTAGTGAGGATCTCTGGTTGCCACAGAAAATCAGAATTACCTGGTGTTGACATTGCTCACATCTTCTGTTCTGTTTGTGTACCGAGACAAGGAAGAGTTATTACAGGAGGACTTCAGATTTAGGGAAAACAGTTCCCCTTCTAAATAATAACGATGCCAGCCAAAAGCATTAAGTTGCCTAAATCACTTCCATTTCTGTAGAAGCATTTTATAATGAATAAAAAATGAAACTTTTGTTTTTATTTCCAAAATAAGGCAATATTCTTTCAGAACCTTTATTTTAGGGGCGCCTGGGTGGTTCAGTGGGTTAAAGCCTCTGCTTTCGGCTCAGGTCATGGTCTCAGGGTCCTGGGGTCGAGCCCCACATTGGGCTCTCTGCTCGTCAGGGAGTCTGCTTCCCCCTCTCTCTCTGCATGTCTCTCTGCCTACTTGTGATCTCTGTCTGTCAAATAAATAAACAAAATCTTTATTTAAAAAAAAAAAATCTTTTAGACCCTAGCTTACCTCATTGAGGGAACAGAAGTATATTTAGTGGTAGTTTTTGGGTTTAACAGTAGCTAGATTCGGCATTCTAGTACAGATTATCCTTTTATCTCTGCAAGCACCTGGGAAGAATGTAGTGGCTTTATTCATGTGTTACATGAAGAAACAGCGTCAGGGGTGCCTGGGTGGCTCAGTTGGTTAAGCAACTGCCTTCGGCTCAGGTCATGATCCCAGAGTCCCGGGATCGAGCCCCACATTGGGCTCCCAGCAACACGTGGAGTCTGCCTCTCCCTCTAACCTTCTCCCTTCTCCTGCTTCCTCTCACTGTCTCTCTCTCAGATAAATAAATAAAATCTTCAAAGAAAGAAAGAAAGAAACAGGGTCAGGGAAATGGAGTGACGGCCTGAGGAGAAACTGCACAGCCAGTCTCATAAGGGTGGCTGATGTCATTACCGGATAACTTATAAACGAGGGCATGGAGAAAGAAAAATAGAAGCTTTGCGGGAGGAGATGAATTGCATTTATTTTGGGGGATGATTTTTTTTTTTTTGAATACCTGAAACTTACATATCTTTCATAGTTGATGAACCGCAGTCTTGTAAGATAGCGGGACAGAGAGACTCACACAGGTGAGGAACCCAAGGTCTGAGGAGTACATATACGCAAGGAGAAAGAACACGGGTCTCCTGACTCTGCCCCAGGGCTCTGGTTGTCAGGACATCGTGAAGAGCAGTCGATTAGAGTGCCTCTCGGCACTGCTTGCCCGTCTGAGTCCTGGGGAGCTTGGGAAAACATCAGTGCCTGGGCCACATCCTGAGAGCTTCTCATGTAATGGCTCTGAGGTGAGACTTGGTCTTTGGTGTTCCTGTGATTCATTCTGTTACCAGTGAGCATCAAGAGACACTCGCCCCTCTGGAAAGGCTGGTAGGCTGAAAGTTAAGAAACCCGATGGTTCAGGCCAGTTGTGCGACTACTCTGGTATTCTGGGGCAAGCCTGCTTGAGTAAAAAGAGATAGTCAAATTCTGCCTAAGAATTACTGAAAGTTTGAAGGGAGAATTTTTTATAAAAGTACACTGAGGGGCACCTGGATGGCACAGCTGGTTGAGCATCCGAATCTTGGTTTCGGCTCAGGTCGTGATCTCAGGGTTGTGGGATGGAACCTGGTGTTGGGCTCCACGCTCAGTATGGAGCCTGTTGGAGAGTCTCTGTCCTTCCGCCCCTCTTGCTTGTGCTTTCAAAGAAATAATCTTAAAAAAAAAAAAAAAAAAAAAAAAAAAAAGTACACTGAGGGGCGCCTGGGTGGCTCAGTCGGTTGGGTTTCTGCCTTTACTCCAGTTCCTGACCCCAGGGTCCTGGGATCGAGCCCCACATCGGGCTCCCTGCTCAGCAGAGAGTCTGCTTCTCCCTCTCCTCTCCACTCACACTCTCTCTCACTATCTCTGTTTCTTTCTCAAATAAATAACTAAATCTTTTTTGTTTTTTAAGTATCCTGAAAATATTAAAAAATATAACAGAATAACCTAAGTCTGTGATCACTAATTATTGCTGGGGAAATATAAAAGATGTGACTTTTGGTTTTTACTTCTAGTATCCAAAATAACTCACTGCTGTGTATTCACATAATAAAATAATATTGTTTATTTCATTTTTAATTAGGTTCCTTTCACAAGTCTCAGAATATACAAAATTTAAGTCGGACCTAGTGATTAAAACAGCAATAGGATAATGCAAACAGCAGCAAGGATCAGATGTTTACATTTCCATCCCTGGTAAATAGCATAATACTTGTCACATAGGAAGTTCCCATTAAACAGTAAAGAAATTACCGAGCTAAGCACGTTCTGTAAGGTTGCATACAGTTACTATAAAGCATATTAGTGTGGTTTTATGACCTATAGATTTTGAATTGGTAGCAATTTCCTAATTATTAATAGAGGACTCTGTTTCAATGCCATCTATTTCCTTATAGGACCTGTACAAATCAGCCTTCTTTTATTTCGAAGGGACATTTTACAATGATAAAAGATACCCGGAGTGCAGAGATTTAAGCAGGTACAGTTTTCAAAAATCTTCTCAGTTTTTCCTGTTTCTAGTTCTTGGAATAGATCTCCACACATCCTGTTACTGGTCCGTTAAGGGTCTTTGCCAAAGAACTGTTTTGTTAGACTGTTTTGTTTGTTTTGGGATCAGAACTCTCAGTTTAAAATATATTCAGTTATTTCATCTGGTCGGCCTAGGTATTAGTAAGTGAATCACAATTCTTACTTCAGGAAGAAACTTTTCCTAGCAAAGACCTGACACAGACCATTTCAAAATCTTTGTGTTATCTACGATCTTAGAAACGACAGCAAATCTTGGAGTGCTTGGTTGGCTTAGCCAGTAGCTACTCTTGATCACAGGGGTTGTGAGTTCGAGCCCCATATTGGGTGTGGAGCCTACTTTAAAAAAAAAAAAACAAAAAACTAGCAAATCTTGTATTGAGCCATAGATACATCTGAGAAACTTTAACTCCCTCTGAAACACTTCATTAGTCTTTTTCATATTTAGGTGATGGCAATAAGTTAGTCTTACTGTTTTTTCTGTTTGTCCAGTATATACTGTTGTTTGCCCTACATGGGTGTGTAAATACATGGTTAAGTGTATAACATAAAAAATATATAGCTTGTAGTCATGTTAATTAGCCCATACGTTTGCGATCAGTGTCCTAGCAACTAGAACATACATGTATATTGTTTCTGAGTGTTTATATACATTCTTTTTCATTATAGCCATTTGTATCTGTGTTCTAATGCAGCAGTTCTCAAACGTGCCGGTTTCAGCCTTCCTTTATACTATAATTGAGGACTCCAGACAGCTTTTGATTATGTGGGCTATAGCTATCAGTGTTTACCATATTAGAAGTTGAAACTAGGAAATATTTCAAATATTAACTACTCCCATTACATGTTAACATTAATAATTTGGGGGAGGAAATAACTTTTTCAGAACAGAATGAGACGAGTGGCATTGTTCTGAATTTTCCATTCAGTCTGAAGTAATAAAACACATCATGTAGCCGTTAGAATACTGGTCTTTGGAGAGAATAGGAGTCGAAAAGGGCAGATGACATTTTATCACAAAGATCCTTTTGACTTCAGGAACCACACTTTGAGAACTGTTGCTCTAACGGATAAGGACACATTCAGAGGTCTTGATTTTTACATGTGTCAACCACTGGGATTTTCACCTCAAGGTGGCAACTGTCCAGCTTATTGGGTGAGCCAGGCTTTATGAAATACTTGTAGTCACAGACCATTTTCTGTCATTTTTAGATTTTGTGGCGTAATGAAATACCATCTTTTCCCCCTCTTCAGAACTATCATTGAATGGTCGGAGTCCCATGACAGAGGCTATGGAAAATTTCAGACTGCCAAAATGGAAGATTTCACCTTCAATGACCTGTTTATTAAACTGGGTTTTCCTTACTTATATTGTCACCAGGGAGACTGTGAACATGTTATTGTCATCGCTGACATAAGGTAAGCGGCAGCGCTCAACGCGATGTCATCTGCTCTGTCTTCCTCTCCTTGATTTCACGGTATAAAAGCGCAGGCAGTTGGAGTTGGTTTGTTTTTGTTTTTAAGATTTTACTTATTTGACAGAAAGACAGCGAGAGAGGGAGTGGGAGAGGGAGAAGCAGGCTTCCTACTGAGCAGGGAGCCCGATGTGGGGCTTGATCCCAGGACCCCGGGATCATGAACTGTGCCGAAGGCAGACGCTGAACAACTGAGCCGCCCAGGCTCACCTGGATTTGCTTTTTTGTTTTTGTTAAGATTTTATTTATTTGACAGAGAGAGATCACAAGTAGGCAGAGAGACAGGCAGAGAAAGGTGGGGAAGCAGGCTTCTTGCCAAGCAGAGAGCCCGATGCAGGGCTTGATCCCAGGACCCTGAGATCATGACCTGAGCTGAAGGCAGAGGCTGAACCCATTGACCCACCCAGGCACCCCTGTTTTTAATAAGAGAAATAGAAGTAGTCATTGCAGCTTGGCTTGGGACCAGCAAAATCATGTTTGCTTTCCATGGACTGACCAACTCTCCATCCATTTGTATCCTGTCTTTATTTTGGGAATATCTATAATAGAAATACTTGATTAGGGGCGCCTGGGTGGCTCGGTGGGTTAAGCCGCTGCCTTCGGCTCGGGTCGTGATCTCGGGGTCCTGGGATCGAGTCCCGCATCGGGCTCTCTGCTCAGCGGGGGGCCTGCTTCCCTCTCTCTCTCTCTCTCTCTGCCTGCCTCTCCGTCTACTTGTGATCTCTCTCTGTAGAATGAATAAATAAAATCTTAAAAAAAAAAATACTTGATTAGAGTTGTCAGAAATCTGTAAGTAAGTGTCTCCATTTGTATATCCAGCAGGCAGTAGCCATCCACTTCGTGTAGCACTTTGTATCTCCTGTTGCTAGCAAACTTGCAACTGGGTATCGAGGTTTCTTGTCTCTGCCAGAATTTTGAGGAGATCAAAGGGAACTGGGGGTAAGAGAAGAGTAATTCTAACATTTGACAAATGTGAAGTCTTAATGTTTTCATTAGTTTTCAAGTATAAAGTGAGAAGGACTAGTTTTTTTTAAAAGATTTTATTTATTTGACAGAGATCACAAGTAGGCAGAGAGGCAGGCAGAGAGAGAGGAGGAAGCAGGCTCCCCGCTGAGCAGAGCCTGATGCAGGGCTCGATCCCAGGACCCTGAGATCATGACCTGAGCTGAGGCAGAAGGTTAACCCACTGAGCCACCCAGGTGCCCAGGACTAGTTTTTTATAATTAAAGATTTTATTTATTTATTTGAGAGATAGAGTATGAGAGGGGAGAAGGTCAGAGGGAGAAGCAGACCGTGGAGCTGGGAGCCCGATGCAGGATTCCATCCGGGGACTCCGGGATCGACACCTGAGCCAAAGGCAGTTGCTCAACCAACTGAGCTGCCCAGGCGCCCGAGAGGACTAGTTTAAAATAAGATTTTGTTATAATTTTATATAGCTTGTGTTGTGTCTTTCTCATGAATAAGGCCATTCGTTTTCTTATTTAGGAAATCTGTAAAGGATCATTATATAGAAATAAGCCCTGCTCCATCCCTGCTTTAATTCTGAGAGACCATTTTTAGGGTTTTTTTTTGTGTGTGTATGTGGAGCAGTGATACACCCATACTTTTTATTATACCAGTAATAGGAACTTTATAAAGTCCCTATCTCCACATTTCTTGAATTTTAGTGACCAGTTTCCAAAATTTACCTGGCATGCACTCATTCTTGGGAAGGTCCCCGAGGAAGTACTCCACACTTACCTTTAGTAAACCTTGAAATAGAAAAACAGGAGTGCAGGGGCGCCTGGGTGGCTCAGTCAGTTAAGCATCTGCATTCGGCTCAGCTCATGATCCCAGGGTCCTGGCTTTGAGTCCCACATTGGGCTGCCTGCTTCTCTGTCTGCTGCTGCCCCTGCTTATGCTCTCTCTTTCTCTGACAAATAAAATCTTAAAACAAAAAAAACATGAAGGCAAAGCAGAACAGATAATGTAGGGAAAGGAGAATCCCAGCACGATGGCCATCTAGCCAATTCGTCCCAAGACACACACAGCGGAGAACTCGGGAAGGGTGTCTGGGACTGCCAGGTCTCCCGCTTGTGCATTAACACACTGGACAGCGTGGTTCTCATTCTGTCGGGAAGTACAGAACTAAATTGGCGACAGGTATGTGCAACTGAAGCAGATGCAAACCTGAGAGAAGTAGCTAACCTGAGAGAAGTAGCTAGCTGGCAGCTTCTGGTTCGCAGCTAGAAAACCGTGTATTACACAATAAAGGGAAACTATAAGTTGTGGAGTTTAGGTGCAAGTCGTAATATTGATTTGGCATCATGTAAACGTTGAATATTTAACCAAAGTTATTTTGGTTCTGTAGAGGGATGTTGAGGGGATAAATTCTAAAGAAACAGTTAAATGTACAAAACAATAGCCCTTAGAGGAAGGAGATTTGCTGAAGCAAAGGGCCAGGGGGCCAGGAGAGCTCATAAACTCCAGTTTTGTAGGACTGAAAATTATATACATTTCTTTGATAATGTGTTAGACTTTATATAAGCTTTTCTGCCTGCTCTTTCACTGAAGCGGAATGAGTGCCTGAGAATTAGCCCAGGATGGAAGACAACCCACTTTTCTGTTATTTTAATTTAACATTTCTTACTGTACAGCAGTGTCATCCTTAAACTCAAGGCAACATGGGAGAATAATTCATGCTTATTTATTTTTTTAAGGTTTTATTTATTTATTTGACAGACACAGCAAGAGAGGGAACACAAGCAGGGGGAGTGGGAGAGGGAGAAGCAGGCTCCCCACAGAGCAGGGAGCCTGATGAGGGGCTTGATCCCAGGACCCTGGGATCATGACCCAAGCCGAAGGCAGATGCTTAACAACTGAGACACCCAGGTACCCCACAATTCACGCTCATTAAACATCTGCAGTGTGGGATGCTTCTAAGGAATTTTTAGTTTTAGTTTTTAAAAAAATTTTTTTAGTTTCACTTTTTAAAATATTTTATTTTTAAGCAGTCTCTACACCCAGTGTGGGGGTTGAACCCATAAGCCCCGAGACCAAGAGTTACATGCTCTATCAACTGAATCAGGCAGGCGCCCTTTAAAGAATTTTTAGATGTAATTTGGACTACAAGTCATTTTTCAAAAAGATTTTATTTATTTGAAAAAGAGAGAAGGCACATGAGCAGGGAGGAGGGGCAGAGGCAGAGGGAGAAGCAGGCTCCCTGCTCGAGCCCGACACAGGGCTTGATCCCAGGACCCTCGGATCATGACCTGAGCTGGAGGCAGAAGTTTAACTCCCTGAGCCACCCAGGCGCCCCTGGACTACAAGTCATTTTTGTCTAATAGAAAGATTTAATCATTCAGTGCCATTCCATAGTTTGATAGTTGGTAAACTCTTACAAGTTTACTAATCTTTTTTTTTTTTTTTTTTTAAGATTTATTTATTTGACACAGAAAGAGCTCACAAGTAGGCAGAGAAGCAGGCAGAGAGAAAGGCGGGGGAAGCAGGCTCTCTGCTAAGCAGAGAGCCTGATGCGGGGCTCTATCCCAGGACCCTGAGATCATGACCTGAGCCGGAGGCAGAGGCTCAACTCACTGAGCCACCCAGGCACCCCTACCAATCATCATCTGATACGAAGTTGATATATTGCTACCCTTTCTTACTAAAAGACAAAAACTAAGAATCATTTAAAAATGGTCAGGACCTTTAGAATAGACTCTGGTGCGGTCCCCTTCATTTTCTGGATGACGAATGTAAGGTCCAGTATGGTTAAGGAATTTATTCACACCCAGTCAGCTGATCAGTGGCACAGTAGAGACTGATTTTATTAATAACTTACAAATTCCGACACCTAAAGCTAAAGTCTTCTGTCAGTTCACATTACACCACGAGTCTGATTTAAATTTTAATAAAGAGGATAGTAAACAAGAGCCACGTAACACGTGACCAAATAGATAAAATAGTTGCTCGGACTGTCTCCCAGGAAGGCAGTGAGTGTTGAGTAAAGCAGGGGCTCTCTGACGGAATGCGTTCAAGATCTGCACGCAGACTGCCCTCTTGGAGGGTCACAGAGCACATGACCTGTTCGGGAAGTTTCACCTGAAAGAAAACATTGTTTAATCCCAAATGATCTTCAGGAGAATGTTTTCGTAGAACAAAGTTTGGTCAAACCTAGTGTAACAAATAATTTTATACCTGAGTCTTTCGTAAGAAAAAAAAATTGAAAAATATACCTACTAGGTTCTTAATGTTGAGGTAAGATCTGTTTTGTCATCGATAACAACAATTTGCATTTTTTAAAACAATTTGCATTTTAATATATTCATTTACTTCTCGTGTACAAAAGGCTCGCACATTGTGATGACTGCTTGGACAGGACACTTTATCCCCTTCTTATCAAGAAACATTGGCTGTGGACCAGAAAATGTTTTGTTTGTAAAACGTACACAGCCAGGTAAGTGATATCTATTTCTTTCTTCAAGAATTACTGGTTTTCAGTAGTCAAGTACTTTCCATTTTTGGTATTTCGGTGTTTCCTATTTTAAATTTGAATCTGAGAACTTACACTGTGGGGGTATAAATAAAAGAAATGGTTTTATCTAGTACATAAGTGCTGCAAATTAGTAGGTTACATTTAAACAGTAAGGAAATGCATTCTGTGTAGTGAAAGTCCAGAGCTGGCTCAGACTTTGGATCTTTAGGGAGCCATGTTGTCTTTCTCTCTGCAGTCTACAAAATCAGCTTCATCCACGGCTCCTCCTCCATGAAAAAACAATACAGCATTCAATATATAGAATGAGGTCAAAATATGGGTTCATAAAATTTTCACTTTATGGGATACTTCACGTTTAGTTTGGTTTTTAACTATGGATCAGGGTCAAAAAATTCTGAGGAAAGGAGAATAATTGTGTATCAGATTTGGGGGTGGGGGTTCTTCCCACCCCGCCCCTCCCATGAGCTTTTCTAAATGATCAGTAGGAAAACATGATAAATCAGTTATCAAACTGGAAATCGGGGAATGTTAAAAATAGACCATGAGATGCAGATTCAAATAGATTGCTGAAAATCAGTCTTTCATCTTCCCATGACCAGTAGTAATGTCTCAGGCAAGAAAACATATCAATTCAGTGTTGCCCATATTCCCATTTGTATACACTCTGTAACATTTTATCCTGACTTCTAGGTAAAACACATGGTTTTCAAATTTGCCAGGACTAATTTACCAGTTAAAAAGATAAGTTACATAAAAGTTCATCAGGTCTGTAGCATCTAATCCATTTTTTCAAGATGGCCAATTACATTTTAATAGTTACTTGGAGGATAGGTTAAGTCATACCAGAAGTGTATAGGGTGCTTTCACCTATGGACTTTTATTTTGCTGTACTTACTTTTAAGAAGTCTTTCAGAGAAACAGCCTTCTGCAGGGTTTTTGTTAGTTGCCCTTTTGCCTTGCAGAGTATTGGTAGTGTATGTCTGTATATGTATACAAAATTGTAGAAAGGATTACAGTGTATTAAGATAGGATGACAAGGCAATAATGGGAATGTTATGTTTCCACATCACTACAGGTCATAATGCATTAAAGTTTGAGAAGGTTGATTGTGATGGTGTAATCTTTTTTTTTTTTTTTAATTACAGATGGGTGACGAACAATGACAGTTTTGCACCAGAGGACCCATGTTTCTTTTGTGATGTTTGCTTTCGGATGCTCCACTATGATTCAGAAGGCAACAAACTAGGAGAATTCCTTGCTTATCCTTACGTTGATCCTGGAACCTTTAATTAATAACAACAAAAAATGTACCTGTGAAGTAACTATCCTCTTGGATGATTACTTTATTTCCAGAACGTGCTACTGAAGATCAGGACCCACCTGAAATACTCAGCTAGTTACCCACATCCCTGCAAAAGTTCACATCACAGGTTTTTTTTTTTTTTTTTTTAAATCACAGGTTTTCTTATAAAGTAACTTGTTTAGAAATACATTATTTTAGTGTTCATTTCAAAATAGGGTTTTTGATGTGTTTGCCCGTTTTTTTTTTTTTTTTTTAAGATTTTATTTATTTATTTAACAGAGAGAGAGATCACAAGTAGGCAGAGAGGCAGGCAGAGAGAGAGAGAGAGGAGGAAGCAGGCTCCCTGCCAAGCAGAGAGCCCAATGCGGGGCTCGATCCCAGGACCCTGGGATCATGACCTGAGCTGAAGGCAGAGGCTTTAACCCACTGAGCCACCTAGGTGCCCCTGTTTGCCCGTTTTTTAAGTGTGTTTATTTTACTTAGTTGTAGGAGTGCTTTATATTTTTTGAATACAAATCCTTTCAGATTCAGGTATTCTGATTTTCGGCCATTCTGTGGCATGCCTATTCATTCTGTGTCCAGAGTACTTTTTGCTAATCTGTAGTTAGAAAAATTCAGTTAATCAAATCATACATCAAGTGGTGGAGGTGTTTTGAAAGTTCTTTGGAAAGAAAAAAAAATTCTTTGAAGAATGTGAGAGTTGTATCTTGTACCATGAGGCTTCAAATACCTGTGATAAAAATGAGGGGGAATAATAAAAGTAGATTTAACAAATACAGTATTAAGAGTAGCAATTCTGTAATCTGATCTCACAGTGGGCTCTTTTGTAATACTAAGTTTTTGTTGGTAGAAACTAGCAGGCATACTAATCATTTTAATGAGACTCACTGCGTGAATAATGAATATAAAAATATTTCAGTATATACTCAAACCTTCACAAAAGTCACATTTCAATTGAAGATTCATTTCTTGAGAACTTCTTCAGTTCAATATTATGATTAAGAAAATAGATTTTGGGGCACCTGGCTGGCTCAGTCGGTAGAGCATGCAAGTCTTGATCTCGGGGTTTTAAAAGTTTGAGCCTCACACTGGGTGTTGAGATTACTTAAAAATAAAATCTTAAAAAAAAAATAGAGATTTTGTGTAATATGATCCCTGGGACATGGGAAGTCAGGATCCTGTGGATTGCCAGCTCTGGTTCACTCATTCTTGCGCAATAAAAATACCCAGTATTCTGTATGCAAAAACAAAGAAGTTTTTCTGGCCCAACTCTTCCAAATTCCTTCAGCCCCCTCACCCTGACAATGCTGTGTATTCGCTTCTCTCATTCTGGGCAAAAGGACACCTGAGATGAATGCCAAGATCTAGATCATCACAGAAAATTATGTTTTCCCAAAATCTTTTTTGGTGGAAAATTTGTTTTTTTTTTTTTAGATTTTATTTATTTATTTGACAGAGAGAGAGAGAGAGAGAGAGAGAGAGAGAGAGAGAGAGATCACAAGTAGGCAGAGAGGCAGGCAGAGAGAGGAGGAAGCAGGCTCACCGCTGAGCAGAGCGCCCAATGCGGGGCTCGATCCCAAGACCCTGAGATCACGACCCGAGCCGAAGGCAGAGGCCTAACCCACTGAGCCACCCAGGCGCCCCAGGAAAATTTAGTTTTAAGACGTTTAAGAATGCTGTAAAATAGTTCCTTTTAAATGTGTTATTTAAATTCCACTTTCTCTCTCCGAGGTTATTTATTTAAATTCAGCTAAGTTCCACATTCCCTGGATGGCTAAGAACAGACATTTACCATATAAATAAAAAACTGATGAAGTCCTTTAAGCATGTATGTTAAAAGACTGGCAGTGAGATGTTTTATGGACGTAAATACTACATATCCAATTAAGTTGGTGTGCAGAGGACAAGCACCCGTTTCTGGTATGTGTAGTGATGGTCTCATTCACTGATTCACTAAACAGACTAGAGAATCAGTAAAGAGAAGAGGTGCCTCCCGTGGCTGGCTTATATTATTGTCTAAATTTTTACTTTCATGTTTCCGATGATGCTAAACTGAACAGATTAAAAATTCTGTTAGAAAACCATGTTTACCCAATTCCTGTAAGTTCCACAGGTAAAAAAGAATTTTTGGGAGATTTTTCTTAATTTAGAGAGCCAGTGAGCGTGAAGGTAGAAGGGCAGTGAGAGAGAATCCCAAGCAGACTCTGATCCCAACACAGTGCAATCCCAGGACACCGAGATCATGACCTGAGCCAAAATCAAGAGTTGGACGGTCAACTGACAGAACCATCCAGACACCCCTGCTTCCTTTGTTTTTAAACTGTATTCCTTGTAGGTCTTGCATTAGTATGCAAGGGTCTGTTTATCCTTCTTTCTCTCCAAGTTATTTAAATTCTAGTTAGTTAATATATAGTGTAATACGTTTCAGGTGTTTACTTTTATTCATTTCCATTTCATATTCTCAAAACCGCAAATTCCAAAATGTGCACTGTATTGTCCTAACAGAAGCATTAGTCCATGTGTTGTCAATTCCTTTTAGCGGACAAAGAAGAAAGCTAAAATGCTACCGCTATTGAATTTTTTTTTTTTTAAGATTTTATTTATTTATTTAACAGAGAGAGAGACATCACAAGCACAAAGAAAGGCAGGCAGAGAGAGAGTGGGAAGCAGGCTCCCCGATGAGCAGAGAGCCCAATGCGGGATTCAATCCCAGGACCCTGGGATAATGACCTGAGCCGAAGGCAGACGTTTAATGACTGAGCCACCCAGGCACCCCAAAATTGTTTTTTTTTTAACTTAAAGATTTTATCAGCACGCACAAGCAAGGGGAGTGGCAGGGAAAGGGAGAATCAGGCTCCCCACTGAGCAGGGAGCCCGATGTGGGACGTGATTCCAGGACCCTGGGATTATGATCTGAGCTGAAGGCAGATGCTTAACCAACTGAGCCATCATTTCCCCTTGTGAAATGTAGAGTTAGAAAGACTAACCTAGTCACTCCCAGAATTTGCCCATGTATTAAGTTTATCAGTTACAGGTCGAAAGACCTTCCAAGTTTGAAACAAGCCTAAAAGAGTATTTGAATTAGGGACTCTATAGCTGTAAATTTCAGTATTAAACAGGACCTAAATTATGTATGTCATTTTCTCTAATGAAGAAAAGCAAATATGAAAATACGGTAATGAACTTATTAATCAGCATCCTCTGTAGTTAGAAATGAGTTTTTTTTTAAAAAGATTTTATTTATTTGATAGAGATCACAAGTAGGCAGAGAGGGAGGCAGAGGCAGAGGGAGAAGTTGGCTCCCTACTGAGCAGAGAGCCTGATGCGGGGCTCGATCCCAGGACCCTGGGATCATGACGTGAGTGGAAGGCAGAGGCTTTAACCCACTGAGCCACCCAGGCACCCCTAGAAATGAGATTTTGGTATGACGGATGAACATGCACAAAGGCACTATTTAGAAAAGCACTGTTTATCTTTAAATATTTTTCAGCCTTTCTTATCCTTAAGGATAATTTTACCTTCTCCTAATCAAATCATAATGTCTTTATTATCTTTAAGGTTAGAGAGTTCCATAGCACACATTTGAAAACATTTCTCCCTTACAGCAGCTTCATTTCTTAAGGTTTGTAATTAGGGGTTTGCTATTTCTGAGAGATCGTCCTTTCTCTGACCAATGGGACAAAATAAGGTGTTAGTAAAGCCCTCACAGAACCTTGTAAAAGCCTTTGCTCTTATATAGGATTAGTTGGCTGACGTCATCTTGACCTGACATCTTCAATCAGGTAAGTGTGTGCCGGTACACTACAATCAACGTATCAGCAAAAACTGGGTAAAAAAGATCATCGTAGTTGAAAGCGCAGGATGTATTAGCAGAAGGTTTAATTGAGATCGTCAAGTTGTTTAGACATTCAGTTTCTCCAGCTGAGATGACACTTCTGAAATGTCTCCAGAGCAGCTAAGCAAGCTTCCAACGACTCATTCTGCAGGGCCTGCATAACCTCCTCTTTTGAATGTTAGCGAGAGGTTTCAATAGCACAAAATAGGTGGTTTATATATGCCCCCCAAAAAGAGGAAGACATTTTTCTTACTATTTCATTTAAATTATCTTAGAGAATTGTTCAGCAGTGAAGTTTTGACCAAATGCTTCTGAAAGTTCTTAGTATTTAGGACTTTATAAGAGTTCAGAGAGTAGTAGTTACCTGTGAATTAGCTTATGACCAATAGAAAATGGAAGGCTAGTTATATTTTCACACTATAGTAATCAACTGTTCTGCACGGCCAGCCCAAACAAACCACACATAAATTATCACAATGCTGGTATATGTATCTCCTGAAGCTGAATATTCTGTAGTTTCTCAGTAAATTATATTGATCTGTTGGGTCACAGAATAAAAGAGAGTGAACAAAAAATAACATTTTTAGTTTAGTTACCTATCTCCCCAGCCAACACAATCTCTATACCAAGTTAACCAAGAAATTACTCCCTTGGAAGCAAATCCAGAATTCCAAAAACACTTTTATAAATAACAAAGAATTAATTTACTAGTAGAGTTTGATAGAAAAATCCTTTAATCAAAACAAGTTTACAATGTCGACACGTATGGCTTAACTAGAATAAATCTGTCCAAATTTAAATTGTATTAAGGACCAGCTATAATGTAATATCAATAGTTCCCTCAAAACAGTAGGTCCTAGTTCCTTCCATTTTAAGACCTCTCAAAAAGAACTCCAATTATTGAAATAATTCAAACTTTCCATTTATAGATGAAAACCATTATCTGGGAGGTCAAAACATACAATGCATGTCACATGCAAACACTGATGCTAATTAAGCCTTTTCTCTGTATTCATAGTTTCAAAACATGAGAGGTGTCCTTTAGCTACTGAAAACCACCAACTGACCTAATCAAAATATCTTAGAAATGCTATCTGTTAAGTTAACCCTTAAATTTTGTTAACCTTGGTTTACCCTGATTTAGTCCATATACATGAATATACGAACTACCAAAGTACTCCTTTACTTTATCTAACTGCCTCGGAGCAACGTATTTCTACTCCTTACAAGTCTGTCACATGGAGGATCTCTAAATAATAATCCCCTTCTGATATGACCATGTTTTTCAAACAGGTTAGTTTTCTT